ATGAATACTCGAGTAGTAAGTTATTGCCATGTGCGTGCTCGGCCACTTTTCTCTTACACACAATCACACACGATAATGATCAATATTACTGCACACACGTTTATATGACCCGCCTACCAAAGGAAAATTGCCTATACTGAACTCCTTAAGAACGGACGGAGTATAAAAGACTCTGAAGACGGGATATCGAGTTCACTGCAGCTAGGTACGTCTTCGTAGGGTAAGGACTGCCTGAAATACCTCCTCGTAGTGTCATAATGCACCAAAAAAAGTACATCTTCGTAGGTACGTCGTCCGTTGTGTTTAATAGTCTAACTCAACAAAACAATCACTTGGGGAATCAGATTACGATAAAAGGCACCGCACTACACGACACGGAGGAGTTGTGTACAAGGCTTTACTCTTGGTAAATATAATATGGTTTCCCAAACTGTAGTCTGTGGAAGTGCGGACCCCAGGAGTCCGCTAGTATACTAAGCCCCAAGGGGTGTTCCAACACGTCTTAATATTTATTTTTATCTATTTAATAGAATGCAATAGTGTATAATATTATGTACTTGACAAAATGCATATTTTTAGTATCTAAATGTTGAACATTTTGTCCTCGAAATTTTTAGGGTCATTATTGGCGTAATTTTGAACTTTTTGACAAGCGTATGAGGACTAACCAACCATAGTTATTTAGTTATCATTCAAAAATATTATTCACTGCCCACGGGTACTTGAAACTTTTACATACATAAATTATTAAATTTTATAATATATAGTGAAATCTTCAAAACACTTCAATTAATGTTAAGCTATATTATCTATTTATACCACGTTCCTATTGACACCATAATTCTACATTTCTACAATCTACGATAAGTCTGTATTAATTAAAAAGTTGAAAACAATAATAATACCTGTATGATATAAATATATATTATATACTATTAGGTGTAGTGATTAATATATATTGATGAATAATATGTATTCAACAAAATTTAATTTGCAGATTTTGTTGTATTTATTCCAAAAACTTGAATTTTTTACAAAAATATATTTAAATTAGAATTTTCTATACCTACGTAGCAACATTTTCTAAATGTTTTGTCTCCTTTTGGGCTTTTTATAAAATGTCGACGGAAAACATTTTTTTAGTAAAAAGCTTGGAAATTTAATTTTCTATGGATCATTAGAAGTAGTTTATTCTTGATACCAAATTACCAAGAAATGAGGTTTACAAAAAAAAAACATTTTTATTATTTTGTTCTAATACAAAATTAATATACTCGGACTTGAAACTTTTGCTATAGTATTATATTTTGTATACACAGAGTAGTTATCATAACATTAAGATTAATTTTAGTTATTGTCTATTAGCTGTTTGTACCACGGACGACACGAACTTATTTAGACCCATAGGCATACGGTATTACGGTGTATAATATAAGTATTTTGACTTTAAACATAATAACAATAATAGATTGTATAAATGTACCTATAGGCATAGACTTAAAGAAATAGACGGAACATTAGGCCCGAGGACTGGGAGGCGTGGTCGTGTCAAACGGATTAAGAGAGATAGCATGAGTTTTATCATAAGAGTGAGAGAAATGTCCTCTGCTTCGAGTACAGCCAATTACATAGCTTTAATAGTGCCCGATCGTCAATTGCACGCGTTATTATACCTAATGTTCCGTCTATTTCTATAAGTCTATGCCTATAGGTAAGTACTATTAAAATATTATTAATAGGAATAAATATTCAATGTTATCGGCAAAAATTTTATCAACCTACAGTATTTTAAGACTAATAGTAAAAATGTTAAATAAATTACTTTAAGATCATAATTGAAAAATATATCATGAAATAAACTTTTTAGTTTTTTAAGATTAATTGACAGAATTTGGTAATAGCAACTGAAGAATGGCCACAATTCGATGTTAGGTATATCAATACCTTAAAATACCGTAGTTGCTTATTTAAATTACTACATTAGACCCTAACAGTTGATGGTTCCTCTAGAAATCACTATCAAGCATGCTGAAAACTCGGTGTAGAAAAAATGTATGTTCAAGTGCTGAAAATCCAACTGGGAACTAGGTACATTGGAGGTCTCGTATTGACATCTAGTTACAGTCACGGTTGATTCTTAAAAAAAAAATGTTCAAGACTTCGGCATTAGAATAATAAAGATGACGCTGCCGTTATCTCTTGGACGTTTTTATTAATTTATTCTGTTTTACTCAAAATTATTTAAATTTTAAATATACGGTAAATATTTTTTACCTATTGTGTTCAAAAATAAACAGGGGCGTAAGTGACAACCTTCTACCTTTCAAATGATTGACTATTGTTTTAAGTCTAAATGTACTAGGTCTACGTCTAGCCGTATATAGGTACAACAGTATTATATAGTTGCAAAATTAGTGAACAATTATTAAGTTAGTACTATTATTATTAGCATATAACTTCAAGTGTACCTATAAAATATAAATACTTTAATGAATAATAAGTAATAATTAAGGTTAGTAATTACTAATTAGGTACCTACATTAAACTCACACAAAATATAATATTAAAATATGATATTATATAATATATTTTCCCAAACACGTTAGTGGGTCAACTGTCGTCTGTCCGCCACTGATTAGTGATTACGCATTTGTGGCTATGAGACTATATATGTCTATATGTATAAATATAGCGCTCATACATTTATTATTTGGGATTTAGGTATTACGATGGAAATATGGAATATCACCAAGGAGTGTAAAATTGTGAAATTGAACAAAACTGAGTGGTCGACCGAAAAATGAGTGATCGAATAGCTTATATAATAGGTAGGTAGGTACCTAGTATGACACTATGACAGTATGTATAGATAATAACATTTCTGGTTTAGAAATCCGCGACACCCAATTTGGCATTCGCACATGCAAGGATTCTAAAATAAAAAGTTATTTATAATAGAAGTATAGAATTACTTTTGCAATTTCTGGAAATGTACTGAAAAGATACTTCTTCTAGGTACTGCTTCCAGTTCTCACATATGAAGTGACACTTGACACATATATTCACAAATAAAACACAACATTCGTGTACGAAAAACAACTATAAATAGGCATTGGTAAAATTATAACACCCTGATGTTGGAAAAGAGGGAGTGGGATACCAGCATACTACTCATGTCTTAGAAATCCATAGGAGCAGCGGCACAAGATTTTTACTTTCAGGTGTAACCCAGGCACCTTTTACGCCACACAACTTGTACAATATTAGGTAGGTACATTTATTTTATAACTTGTGTTTTAAAGAATAAGCAACCATTTTACATTTACCATTGGGAATTGGCTTGAACATTTTATCATCTGGATTACTGGCAGAGCCCGCATCCAACAATAATAAGTTAATATGCCATGTGGACTATATTCTACCAATATGTCTATCGTGCTATAATATCGTACTGTAGTTTCTTACAATCTTACTCGGTAGCATGATTTCAGGTTCCTGGTCTTCCTTCCGAATAATAAATGTTTATCCCTCCCAAGGTTTTTGATTTTTACTATTTACGATAGCCCCATTCATTCCCTGCCGATCTCACATTGGGGGCCCCTGGCAGGGAACAGGAAAAATTATGTTTTACAATCATTTTTGACCGATCGAATCGAGGTCTACTTTTTATCTCGACCGTTCAGCATTTTGTCTGTGTGTCTGTTTGTCAGCATACGGAAATATGCATCCTTATAATTAATGTAAATTGTCAACACGTTCCGAGTAGACAAAAATGATGACAAGATCAAAATGCTTCAATATCATCGAGCTATGCAGTCATGCAGATGTGTGCACAGCCATACTAATGTTTCTGAGTCCCGTGAGTCGTGACTTCGAAAAAAGCTGAGCGATCTTTTTCAAATAAAAATTGATCGAGAACTATTTGCGAAGCACAATGGCACAAGAATGACTGAGCAGCTTGTCATTATTATGCATTGAAAATCAGAGAGCACGCAGAATTTATCTTAGTACCTAGGTATAGTAATTGACGAGTTCGCTTCAATGAAATCGAGAAAAAAAGTTTCTAGAATTGAAGTTTATAGATGTTCATGAGATAAATTGGTAAGTGATTTTCCACTACAAATGTTGAGAAACAAATACTCAAAGTACCAACTCATACATGATTGTAGTACGTTTTCGGGACTCGTCATGAATGAATATTATATTATTATACAAATATTATATAAATAATATTTATTTATTATATATAAATAAATTATAAATATTAATTGAATTTTTTTTATGATTTGTGCATTTAAAATTATTAACACAAAGGACCCCATATTCAGTTCAACCCCGGGGTCCCTTCAGTTCCGGCTCTTCGTCTACCAACATACACCACCCATCAGTCTTCGTACTGGGTTGGTAGTGAATTAGTATACCAACAACCATAGGTAACAGATATTACAAGAACAGAGTCATACACCAAACAACAACAAAATAAACAGCATTTCAAAAACCGCATTCTTCATGAAACACCGCATTTACTTTTATGTTTAGGTAACCTACCAAGTTCCAATTATCCACAAACCATGTTTTGTAAAGATATTATATTTTTTTTTCATTTTATTTGTCTTACATAATAAAATAATTAACTACTTGATAAAAGTCAATTTTATACAAAATTTGATGGCTTCAATTTTGATTGTGTTTTTTGGTTGGAAAAAATAAAATTACCTATACACTTATCAAAATTAGTATTGTTTTTGTAGATTGTTCACAGAATTTATAAAATTTTATCTTATTATATAAAATTAGAAAAAAAACCAACAGGAGTCTTTATGATTTCCACACCCATTTTGATAAGCGTTTAAGTATAGGTATACAATAATTTAATAATAATATAATAGTAAAATAAGTACAATATATATTTAATAGGTAGCGCACACGTCCTCAGCCAAAAAAAAAGGTTAAAGCCGTTGGAGACGGCTAACTAAAATTAATACATATAAGTCTTAACTAAAAAATATAGATTTTTATAAAATAAAGTTCTTTTTATATGAAACAAAATAATACATTAAAATATACATTTGTGTTAAAAGAACCTTGTTTATCAGTTTACTAACATTTTATTTTAAAATCTAACCCAATTCACTAATCCAATACAATAATATGTCTCATTTTATAGGGTGTTAAACGATATTTGAAGTCTTTATTTGTGCCTATACTTATATTATTATAGTTTACTATATGCCATTTTATATTTCCAAAAAAAATATATTTTATTCTTATAGAATTTTAGATTCTAAACAAATCATAGTTGGTTTTAAAAAAATTACTTTTCTTTTGCTATTTTTTTTTTTAATAGCCTTTATTTCTGAAATTTCTTAGCAGAACAATAAGTACTACAAAATATTTAAGGGTTTTGATGATGTATGAAAACCAGAATTATGTTTGTTTTTTATGAAGTCTTATTGTGAATTTTATAATTAATCTTAAAAGTTGAAGAAAGAAGGAAATATGGACATCACTAGTCATTCTGGAGCAACAAAATAATTAACCACTACATTTTGTAAATTCTTCAAATGTAAAAAAATTTTTGCTCGCTAATATTTGTATTCCATTATATGCTTAACTTTATACTCAAAAACTTTCACAATAATCAAGAGAAAACTGAAGACACTTTCCATTTCAACATTTAATGAAATAACATACAATTTTAGGCAAAAACCTTAAGCTACAAGACATCTTCCTAGAAGACTGTTCAACACCAACCAGATACCTTATGAATATATATCTTTCATTTATTATCCAATATCTAATGTATGAATTAAAGCCATAACGACCATGTAAGTATATAATATATACATTTTGTTTGTTGGCCAATTTTAATGGCAAGCCAAGTTATTTTTTTTATCATTCACTTTTGAATTTAAAAGAAAAAAAATTGTTCTAAACAATTTATTGATTAACCAATTACCTACCTACAACATAATATTTTATATTTTGAAGAAAGTGGCACATTCAAATGTACTTAATAATTAAGTTAACAAACAATTTTGAACGTTCTAGAATGCGATCAAATCAAAATGGAAGTGGCTAATGGCTACACATCTAAGATATATATGTAATAAATAATAATTTGTTTTAAAATTGAATTAAGGCAGTAATCAAGTATATGTTTATCATTATCAATATTTGGACTAATCACAGCATAGGACGTGAAAAGTGGTAGGTATTCATTGGTCCCTGAAATAGCCACTTTCAATCAAAACATAGGAATTCTAAATAATTCAGTGTTTCATTAAACTATTAGAAACTAACAAAATACATGCTAATATTAAAAATTGTTTATAAATAGTTATGAACATATTATTGGTATGTTTAATTTTTGTATCAAACTTTGAATGGAAATGTGGGCATTGACCAGGAAAAGGTTTGCTACCCCAGACCTAGTTCGTTCAACAAAAAATCTCTGTTTTATTTAATTTTGATAATGCCCAAATAAAAATATTTTTCATATTGAACCAAAAATGCACAAGAAGTCAAGTAGACTAGAAAGTAGAAAGTAAATCTGAGTTTAACACCCTAATATTCGTAATATTTTGTCCAATAGTTTTTTTGTGTCATAAAAAAATTTGTTTTTATCATTAATAAACATCCCTAAATACAATTTTGTAACATTGAAATACTTCAGATATTCAGAAATGGAAACTGATGTGGAACAACATAATCAGATAAATATTGCTGTGAAGAATTAGGAGATAAATCTACACCATCATTTAAGCTGCACACTAGAGATGTTTCAATAGGAGGATGAATTCCAGGAAAACATGAATTTTCTTCACATTCTATCTTGTAATTTGATGCTGAAGCTACTTGAAGTACACTTTCTGCTATATCAACACTACTTAAATCTAAGTTATCAGAATACGCCATCAATGAATATGAAACAGTGTCTTCTAATCGAAGATGGTTGATATTTTTTTGTTTTAATCTTTGTATTTCTTTTTCTTCATTCATGACCTCCAATGGAGACGAACGGCTATTATCTTCCACAAAGCGTTTTACTTTTATAGATTTAGTATACACTTGATTGTGAATGTTGACTTGGTGACGTCGTAAATTGGATGCAAATTTAAATATACGTTTACAATGGCACACATATTTTTTGGTTTCAGAATGATTTTCCATGTGCCTTATTAATATTGACTTTAATTTAAAATTATCACCACATACATTGCAAACAAAATTCTTTTCTTCATTATGTATAGCAATTTGGTGATCTTGCAAGGCGTGTTTGCGATAAAAACATGCACCACAATGTTCACAAACATAGTTTCTAACTTGCATGTGAGAATCTTTGTGCCTTTTATAATTGTTTCCATACTGAAAACTCCGTCCACACAAGTTACAAATATAATTATTGTGTTGTTTAAAATGTACTTGTTTCATGTGTGATGATAAATTAAATTTATAATAAAATATCTTTGGACAATGAGCACAATAAAATGGATTATCGATTTTATTACCAGAGTGAACTACAGTTTTCATATGGCGCTTATAATATTTTTTCTTCTCAAATGACTTTTTACACTCAATGCATTCATATACAACACCTTAAATCAAACAAATTAATTTAAAATTAAAATAATTAAGTTTAATAAGTTTTGAATATTTAGAATCAATTTAAAACATGATAAAAAGTATTGCAAATTTATCTTAGTATTAATAAAATAAAGGCAGACTGTGCCATCAGTCTGTTTTATAATTAATACATTTGTTGATTGGATTTTGACGGCAGCAGACTATTTGTTTTACCTCTAAAACCCACGAGTAACATTATAGAAATGCATTTAAATCAGGTAAACCAATCTTATATTGTTAAGACTATGTTATATTCTTATAACTTTAAGTTTAATAGTAGGGAAACTCATTCTAAATAAAGCTAGGCATCAACACAAGATTACTTCTACAAAATATCAATTTTCCATGTTGATCGTGGGTGAAAAAGAGAAATTATTTCATCTTAAGCTATTATAACTTTGAGATCCATGATTTAATTAAATAATTTATTCAGGCGGAACTTTCAATGTTCAATTATTATGAACAAATAATGATATAATTAACAAATTTGCAACAAAAAAAAGACTGAAAATAATTTGTTGCATAAGAGGATGTCAGAGCACTGTTTGTTTACTTTCTGCAACATAGACAAAACACATTTATGCAAAATAATTTTTTATGTTTTAGAAAAATCTTAGAGTAAAATTACCCATTGTAAAATCATATCTCTAAAAGTTGTCTCAAAAGAATTTAAGCATCATTTAAATTTAGAATTTTTTTTTGATGTTTTAAGTTATATAGTAAGTCAAATAATAATAAAATAAAAAACCAACATGTTGTACCCTAAAAATGTTATCCTCTAGAATGTTTTTAATAGATGATTTTACTCTAAGGTAACTCTAAATTCATAAAAAACCATTTTAGGTGAAAGCCTTTTATCTATGTTGAACATGGCTCTGAAAAAAAAAAACAAATATTGCACAGTCATCCTCTTAAGCTTCAATACAATTTTATCAACATTGTGGTTCAGTAAGAACTTCAGTAGGATATATAAAACAAGTATTAGAAAAAGTAAATTCTAGGTATACCTGTAGTTAATTGTTTATTTTTCGAATAGTTGTCACTTGATGGTATTGAAACGCATAACTTTAAATGTTTGTTCAACTTTTTAGAATTTGCAAATTGTGCATTGCAATTGAAACAACAGTATGCATCGTGCCTCTATAAAAGGTTGGAATAAAATGATAAATTTAATTCACCAACATAAAAATATATAGTGTAGGAAAATCTTACTTGTAAATGTAATTTGTATTGTTGATTTCGTGTGAACACTTCCCCACACTTGTGGCATATGAAACCATCACCGTGCTTAATTGTTTTTACATGATCAGCAAGTTCTTGTTTGCTGTCAAACGGCTGTCCGCAATCGAGACATATAGTACCCGTGTTTTTATGCACGGTCTTGTAATGCAGGTGCAACGAACGTTTTTGAACAAACGTTTTCATACAGTACTTACAATTCAACACAATTGGTTCCAATTTGGATCCATGGACTGTTGACATGTGGGCGACCAACATCTTGCGGCTGTTGCATGATGATCCACATACACGACAAATGTTGCGCAGATGACCGTCAACGTGTAGATCATAGTGTCGACGATTCGTGAATGTTTTTTCACAATGATCACAGCCGTAATTCTCAGGCATTGTTATGGCGCACCAGTGACAATTTGGGATTCTAAGTAGCTACAATTATCATTAATATAAGCAAAGTTAAAAACGAATACCTGCAGTAGATTTATTAGGTATGTCGTATGTCTAATATGTTTTTACGAACAATTTTATCATTTATTGTCAAATCAAAAAAAATATTGTTAAATTCTGAAATATAGTGATATCACTTATCATAGTATACAAATATTATGAAAATATATTTAAATTGCAATATCTAATATAATAATATTACAATCACAGTATAATAATATATTAAATACAATTGCGCCAATTTGATATTAATAAAAAATCGATATTATGAATTTTGTGATAGCAACTATAAAAAAAAATACTTATAATGTATGTATAGATTAATGTAATCATTGATATTTAAAATTTTTTAATAATTCAATATCGTTTACTGTTTAGCATTATATTTTCAATTTTGGTATTAACCTAATTCCAAGTTATAATTTACCTTTTATATTAGGGTAATAGTCAATTGGTATACACTACGCATATTATTTACATTCTACAATATTATCAGGAAAAAAATATAATACATTTTTACTATCTATATCCATGTTATTATGATAATTATACAGTGATAATAATAATAATAATAATAATAATAATAGTAATAATATTGTTATCTGAATCGTAATAAATAAATAATAATAATAATAATAATAATCGAAATGTCAAATACGGAATAATCGTACCTATGTCCTATACTCTTGAAGGAGTCTCGACTCACGATTCAGTATTCACAAATACTCAATCATTTTATACTATTTATTTTTGTTAAACTATTAAAGAAGTAAGATATCTATTATATTTTATTTAATATTAATATTAATAAATAATATTTTAATAAGCTTTACTTACCTCGTTTTTAGATCGTTGTTGCAATGTCTCATGCCAACACGGTCTGCAGTTTTGGTTAGTGACAACAGACCCGCCCGAGTGGTAGAGTTGGTGTATGACGTTAGCTGCTGTGTGTCAGTTGGAGTTTTGTGCGCTTTAAGCAAACCATGACAACGTAAATATGACAGAAATCACCATACCTAAGTACGGGCTAGTGCATGATGTCAAGCCACACTATGTGTACACAATCAAGGTGTTGTCAGCCGGCATCCAGGAGTGCGTGGAAAAACGGTACAGTGCTTTTCACGCGTTCCACAGAGAGGTATACATATAACCCTACTCTACCCATCGTCATGTGGTCACTGCATTTAGTTTTTGTTTTCTTACAGCTGAGGAAATCTATATCCACGCCGCCATTTCCGTCAAAACGCATACGATGCTCACAGCCTAAAGTTCTTGAACAAAGAAGGGCTGGTTTGGAAAGGTATTTACAGACAGTTTTCAAAATCGAAGGTGGATATAAACAGGTCATGGAATTCCTCGGGCTAGAGTATCAGCCAAGGTATGATTTTTGCCCATATTTTAGGAACTTAAATATCTATATAGGTACCAACATTCTTACTGTAATTGACTATTTTACATTTTATTTTTTAGCCATAAAATTGATGTCAAGTATCAGCGACCGGTGTTTCATATGATAAGTGAACATATCCCATCAAAAAACCGACATGAAAAACGTTTATGTTTACCAGACATAATCACAGATGGTGTTCTTAAAGCTCTGTATGGTTAGTATTTAACTCCTGAGAAATAGTGATTCATTTAGGTACACTTTTTGTACCTAGATTTTTTTATTATATTATTTATATAGATAAAAATTTAAAATCAAATTTATTTTTAGTATTTTTATTATATTTTACTCATGTAACATTGTTTATTTTAGAAAAAAATGACCATAATTATTATTTTATTAAAATATGTACACAAATAATAAATACATTATATTATAACACTTTTCTAGCTCTATCTATGATCCTCATAAACTCAGTAAGGTTCACTTGTCCATCTCCATCTTCATCTGCCACATTTAACATATTGAAGATTTCCTCATCAGACACTTGTTCCCCTAGTATTGCAGCAACATTCTTTAAGTTGTTAAAATCTATTTTTCCTGTGTCATCTTCATCAATCAATCGAAAAGCTTTAATCATATCAATCTTAACATCTCTCTTTGGTAATACTTTACGCATTTCTTCAATAAAAATTTCTTTTTTTATAAAACCATTTTGATCTTTTTCCATTCTAGATAGTAATTGTATATATTGATCACGAGGTAGTTCTAATCCCAATGCTTTTATTGCAAATTTAAAATCTCTTGTGCTAATTGTCATATGCCCATTTGTGTCCATTAAGTCAAATGCTTCATTGATTTCAATGTCCTTAAAAATAATAAGAAAAAAGATTAACCCAATAAATATGAATGGAATTTAAATAATTTTAAACCTGGTTATCCATAACTCTCCTTCGGTTTCCTATTTGCTTAACAATTTCAATCAGCTGTCTTTAAAGATTGTAATTATTTATAACTGATTTAAGTTAATTTTACAGTTTCAAAATATGTGCATAAATATTAAACTAATTGTTTACTGAGACATTTAATTTCCTATGGTAACGATTATTTTTAATTACATCCCAAGTATACAAAACAAAATTGTATACCTAGAAACAAGATATAGACTATTTTCAAACATTTTCTTACTAATATTACCGACAATTATAAAATTTATTTTAACTTAAAACAAAATAGTATATAATATCCATTCATATACATACTTGAATTACAAAATAGATTTTTAACTAACTTAAAAGCTTTTAAGACTCACCTGAATGTTAATAATAATTTTTATTTTTATTTTTTACCATCTTACATTTTTAAAAATAATAACTTGTAACTAATGTATAGGTATGGTTTTAAAACAATGTGTTGAGTATTATTGTGATGTGTGTTGCCAAAAAAAAAGTTTATTTATATTGTACATGTTCAAAGTATAAATGTATGACATTATTACGGCATTATGATATGATGGTAAAAACTACAAATTACAGATAAGAAAAACAATTGTGATGATAGTCTCATTCTTAAATCTCAATTTACATATAGCCATAAGACTATAATTACTATAAACTATTAATTTACGTATTACCAAATAGTAGTGCCAATTATTATAATTTATCTTATATATTATAATATTATTTGACATATATTATATATTATATTAAATATCATAAACAGATCCATTATAAAATATTATTTATTATAATATTATATACTCTGAAACTATATAACCAGTACCACACACTCATGATGTGCCTATGAAGCTATTTAACTACTGACTAACTTCCTTATAAACTCTGTACATGCAATTAATTGCATTTAAAATTTTTAATCATTAATTTTTTATTTGCATGAAAACCTTAGAAATTGCCTATTTAAAGCCCCTTAAAAACTTCTTTAGTTTGTCCGTTTTACATTTATATCGTTGTGCACTATACAAATAATCAAGTTAGTTTAGTTTATAGGTACTTTATATTAAGAAAAATTAAAATCACCATGCTTTTTCAAAACATTGAAAATATTTCAAAATGGGGTGAATGCCAAAAAACTAAGTAGTGGTACCTTTTTTTTTTGTTGTGGTATCGAGAACCAGAGGGGGGACCGCGTTAGCATTACTTCCCCTAAATAGTAGTGGTACCTACTGCTCTACATTTTCTTGAATTCTAATTGGGAGAGTTTTTTGACGACCAAAGCATAATGAAAAGGATCCTATTGAACAAGTTTTCAGAATTTTGCCTTCTGTCATGATACCATATTAATTAATTTACCTTAAGCTTAAATTAAATAATATATTTTTCTTTAATATTTGACCATTGTCTTTTTAATAATGACATAATGTAATATTAATTAATTTTACCATGCATTAACGTAGACTAGCTAGTACCAAAAATATATGTTTTGTTATGTTAGGGTATGATATTATAAAGGAAGTTCAATTTTATACATTTATTTAGTCAAAGTATTAATTTGTAGAAACAAATTACAAACTTAGTCAAGAGCAATTTTCGATTGGGTTTTATTTTTAATCGACTTAAAATTTAAATTTAAGCAACATGCGAATCCATCCTATATGCAATTATATTATGTTATCGTACCATCTGTAATTATTAAACATTAATTTTAAATTATCATCCATTTTATTTGTATTTGTGTGAAATATGATAATTTAATATCTAATAATACGGTAATGAATGTTTGCATCTCTATTCATATGTTGATGGATGCATGACTGACCACCTACATTATTTAATATGTCTCTATGACTATTATGTGTCATTTCGGGATTTGGTTGACAATTTAAATTAATAGAACGGACATTTCGCAGCCTTTTAGGTATTAATATTTAAAAGTAATAATTACCTATTGATTAATTTTTTACTAACCTTTTAATTTTTTTATTCATAAGATGTTCATTCAAATTACTTAATATTTTATTATGAACGTATTTATTTGCAGCAACACAAAATATTATTTGGAAACTGAATTTATAATTCACACACCTTTTGTAGTTTTGTAGTATTTTAAATAGTCGACCATAACCTAACCTATGTATTCAAATATGTTTTAATTATTTTATATTTGATTGATGTATAATATTGTGAAGTATATGTACCGTAATGTAACACGTATTCAATGTACAAAAATGTCTTAAAATTAATAATGATAGTAACAATATTAAGGTTCTTTGAATATTCGTCCAAAATACTATTTAAAATGCATTAATTTAGGAACACCGATGTTAAAAAAAATGTTTAATGAGGTCAGTAGATTTTTTTCAGTAGTACATAATTATGTTTTTAATAAGAATTAGGTATGGGTAGTCTATTAAGAAGTATTAAGCACTAGTCCTTACTCCTTATTATCTAAAGGAGATAAGGTTCCAGTAAACTGATCCTAGGGTGTATAATAATTAATAATTCTAAAATGAGCCAAATTATATTAGACCAATCTTGAATTATTTATTATATTGATAAGGTAATTTATTATTTTTCGTTTTGCTCCAGTAACGTTAACACATAACATTTAAAAATAAATATGTATACACTTAGATCCAAAGAAAAAACTTGTACTTTTTGGATTTTGCCATTTACTATGTTATCAAGAACAAATTGAAAACTAAAAGAAATCTTGTAAAACAACTACTTAGGTAATTTACACTTATCGCAAAACGATCCAAAGGTTTTTACAAGGTATGTTTTCTATAATACTTTCTGATCTACATGAACATTATTACACGTATTTTTTAATTATTCTTTCTCTAGTCTAAGTTTTGATAAACTTTTGTATAGACTTTGAAATTAATTTTAAAACGTTTGTTTACTGTATCAGTTATTAAATATAATCACAATATCTGCACTGCAGGAAAACAAGTAACATCTGTGCAAGGTAAGGCTAATTATTTTTTTATGAGTAAATTACATTTTATTTGTTCTTTGTTTTATTCTATTTGATAAATAATGGGTACATATAAAATATGCAAGTCATAATATTGCAGATTGTAATACCTAGACTTGCCACCGAGAACCGTGTCCCGACAGCCTATAGTATTTGTGCTCTATTAATATGCCCAATTAAAATTACTTTATAGTTAAATTAATTATCATGATTAATGTGCGATTTGATCATTATAATAATGATATTGTCATAATCCATTCGTCCTCTCCACTCTATACATTGACGATTAACAGCAGACAGCAAAAGACGGGCCAAAATATTTGTCACCGACTGGCACACACTGTACACGCACAATAATATTATTATAATTATTTTTGATATATTTTGTACATTTTCTGTCTGTATAATATAATAATCATCCCCACCGTCCAACCGTGAACGCGACTAATAGTCTTATATATCCTTTATAATGTATGTAATCAAAATAATATGTACATAAATAAATGCAAAAAATACTTGTGCATAACGTACCCATTGCGATTCTAATAATGGCCTACACTATATCAGATCTTTGTTTGTGTTTGTATTTAATAGTATAGCTCGAATAACTCATTTACTCATATTACTCAATTTTACTGTAAGAGTGTATTATTACATTATATTATTAGTATAATTTTTATAATTACATATTTTATAACAATATACAAAAGTATATTAAATATTAAATATTTTATTTTATATTTTGTCTAAATTTTTGTAATGATTTTTTTTCAGAATTTAGGTGACAACTATTTCTGACCAGATGACTGCAGGCCGATTTTATTTATTAGTAGGTACTCATATCTAGTATTTGCAAAACACTTTATGTCGAAGTACGATCCGTCTATAAATAGTCTTTAATATTAATTATTTGGTAAATTACCATGGGTATTATTTTCTATTTAAATAATTATTAATTTTTATATTAGATTCTGTTTAAACTTTAAAGTTGAAATCAAAATGTATACCGGCCGGGAGCGTATCCATAATATTATTATTTATTAATCCATACGCGCTTTCCATTATCAAATACCTACCTATATTATACTCAGTACGTGCCAATACTCATTGACGTAGGATGGGTAGGTATCTGTGTGCACATGGTGTAATTCAATTAATTGCATACTTGCATAATCCAAGTTGCATTTAGCCACAAGAGCGGATTGTCATCTGTCGGGCAGTTGGGCAAATACTAATGCATTATTGATTATACCATTCGTTCTTATAAACTGTAGTCAGCGGCTCTCTTGAAGTCCCCAACACTATTATACCAAGAATCCGTGATGTTATCAATCTTAAAATATTGATAATAATAATAATAAAGTTATTTTTAAAAAGGAAAACAATTATTCAATTATAATATTGGTAAGAGGACCTGTGTATTCTAAAAGCTTTTCATTACAAACCAGTTTAAAAACCACTGCATTAAGTATATACCATTGATTATAATAGTTAAGCACATGCATTGTGTATTTCTGTATCATGTGTGTCATGTGCAGAGTGTGTGCGCCCACCCGTATATCATTTACAGTCTGTGCGTTCTCTTATGCCTATGATTATGATAGGTAACTAGGTAAGATATTGAAAATGGGAATTATGGTATTTTTAATTTTGTGTATGATGTGTATTCTTGTATGACAATATAGTAATAAATAATCCATCAATAAATATATAGAGATAACTAAGACTATAAGAGCCTTGTCCTAACGTGAATTGATAGTACCTACTAATAAATTGGCACTTTTGGCAAGAAAATAATAATAATACGACATATCTGGCCATATATAGAATAAATACTACCAGAGCACCCCCCCCCCCCCCC